AGCCTGATCCATTCAAGAGATGCAGAGTTTTCTTTGGTTTAGTTGATGGACATCAATAGTGATACAAGCCTTAAGGTGGCGTATCACTCCTACACGTGCTGAAATATAACTCCTATATATCCTCCTGAGACCCCACCCATTAATTTATGTCCACTGCAGTAGACATAATTTTGTTTTTGCATCTATCTTTTCACTGATGTAAAGAAACATATATATTCCTGTTGTACACTAAAGAGCACATGCTGTGAAATTAAAAATAAAAATGAATTTGAAAAAAGATGTCTTATTTCCTCCAAAGACATAGAAAATCACAATCAACCTAAAACTGAAGGACACTTTTTTCCTTGGGTCTCAGGAGGATATAACCTCTAGTTTATCCAGTCTTACGTCCGTTTTATGTAACTTCTTGTCCTATTCAGCACAAGGCAGGGAACAACCCAGGATGAGGCACCAACGCATCGCAGGGCACAAGCCATTCACTATTCACTCACACATGCATACCTATGGGCGATCTGGCAGCTCCATTTAACCTCAGCACACTTTTGGACTGTGGGGGGAAAGCGGAGTACCTGGAGGAAACCCCATGATGACATTTTGTCTGCCAGTCAGCATTAAATGATTGGCTGTTTGAACATGTTTCAGGTTAATGGAGGTTTCAGCACGGCTCTGCAACACTGTGAACACACCACCGCTATGGTATCTCTGACAGTAATAATCTCCTGCATCTTCTGCCTGGATTCCACTGATGCTCAGGTTGAGGTCAGACTTAGAGCTATGTGTACGGTTATATGGAAGGAGTCCCAGGAATAATGTTGCCAATATTGTGCTCCAACAGTTCCTGTAGTTATTAAGAAATGCCATAAGCACTGTAAATAACATTAACACTGTCTTAGCAGTTTGTTGGTGACTGGCTTGTTCTGGACTGAGACAATTAATGGGCAAATATTTCTTGAGGTTCAAGAGATTGACATAAGTAATACTTAATTCTGTTTTACACGCACACATATACACACACACACAGTGAGGATTCTTTGCTCTGTTTCATGGTTATTGTGAGAAAATACATGATGCTGATTTTGATGATGATGTTGTTATACAATATATAACCTTACTGACTTTACAGCTCATACTGACAGTCTGCCCATGGAGAACAGCCTTTACTGCAGGAGTCTGAGTTACAGTTATCTGGCCACTAGATTCTGAAAATAACATCAAAATGTAAATATATCAGTAAAAAAAATTAAAAGTTAAGTAATAACAGATCAAACAGTATCTAGCCCTGATATTGCCTTTTGGATTTCTAATAAATAAATAAATCTGTATGTGAGCTCTAATTATTTATCAGAATTACTAAATATCAATGGCTATACTTAGTCAGAACATAATGAACTGAATAGCCAAATTTCCCTGCACCCTATCATCTTTTGAGGGAGGTTTTTGTACAGCTCTTTATTCATCATTTTTCATGTTTCTTCTGCGATTATGATGTCAGTCAGAAGATACTTTGCATTTCAGCTCATGCCTCAGTGCTCTGGGAGGGTTTATATTCCAAGAGGTTTAACACTTCATGACTGACAGCTGCCCTTCATCACAACAGACTCCAAACAAACATGACTTTGATCAGCCTCAGTATCTTGCTCTTCATCCTCACTCACGGTAAAACGGAATAAGCTTGATGATTTAGCAACATATTACTTGATGAATCTTGGTTATATTTTAAATAGACATCTGGAGCTTCCTTCTGTGACTTAATTTTAACTGTTGATTTTGTTTTTTGTTTTTATTTCATATTTCTTTTCAGAATGCAGAGGACAAGTGACTGTGACTCAGACTCCAGAGCTGACATCAGCTTCCTCAGGACAGAAAGTCACTATAAACTGTAAAACCAGCAGCTCTGTGTATACTGATAGTAATGGCCCCCGCATGGCCTGGTACCAGCAGAGACCTGGAGAAGCTCCTAAACTCTTAATATATCTAGCAAGTACCCGTAGCTCTGGGACTCCGTCTCGATTCAGTGGCAGCGGATCTAGTTCTGACTTCACTCTGACCATCAGTGGAGTCCAGGCTGAAGATGCAGGAGATTATTACTGTCAGAGTTTACATAACATTGGTAGTAACTGGCCGTCCACACAGTGATACAGAGCCGTACAAAAACCTCCCTCAGTCAGACTGCACAGTGACTGCACTGCTACAGCTGGGACTCACTGAAGGTGCTGAGGGGGAAGTTAATCTAAAGTCCCCCCAGAGGAGATCAGACCAGTGTAACAGACTAGCCCACCTCTCTTTCCTCGTTTCCGCTTTGGTTGTGCTGATTGTCGCCTTATTAACAATAGCTATAGAATTAGATTCCTGTCTAGTGTATTGTAGGGTTGCCATATTTGGTGAGACAAAAAAAGAATATTAATGAGTTTCCGTGTTCACCGGCCAATGAGGTAGTGCTCTTCTTATGAATATTAACGAGTTTCCCCTAACCACCATGT